AATCCTACTTCCGTAGTGATACTGCCTCGGAAACCCAAGGAGGGGTCGCTGTGAGTCGGGGCTGACTTGACGGCACATAACAACAACAACAACTTATTAGAAGGTAGTTCTTTTAAGACATGAACGGTATTCATTGTCTGGCGTGTATGTTGTTGTTGTTAGGTGCTGTCGAGTCGGCTCTGACTCACAGTGACCCTGTGTACAACAGGACGAAACACTGCCCGGTCCTGTACCGACCTCACAGTCTTGGTATGCCTGAGCCTCTCGTTGCAACCACTGTGTCGATCCATCTCGCTGAAGGCCTTCCCCTTTTCACTGACCCTCCACTTATATAGTCAATGGTAAACATTATGTGAAGGAACCCTGGTGGTGGCACAATGCTTAAGCACTCAGCTGCTAACCAAAGGTTGGTGGTTTGAACCCACCCAGTGGCTCTGCTGGAGAAAGACCTGGCAGTCTCCCCCCATAAAGGTTCCTCCAGCTGTTGATTTGATTCTGATTCATAGTGACCCCACGGAGCACAATGAAACTGCCCCATAGGATTGCCAAGGCTGTCAGTCGTTACAGAAGCAAAGCTCAAACCAAACCCATTGCCCTCTAGTTGATTCTGACTCACAGCGCCCCTAGAGGACAGACTGGAACTGCCCCACAGGGTTTCCAAGGCTGTCAGTCGTTACAGAAGCAAAGCCCAAACCAAACCCACTGCCGTGGAGTTGATTCTGACTCACAGCGCCCCTAGAGGACAGAGTGGAACTGCACCACAGGGTTTCCAAGGCTGTCAATCTTTACAGAAGCAAAGCCCAAACCACACCCACTGCCCTCTAGTTGATTCCGACTCACAGCGCCCCTAGAGGACAGACTGGAACTGCCCCACAGGGTTTCTAAGGCTGTCAGTCGTTACAGAAGCAAAGCTCAAACCACACCCACTGCCCTCTAGTTGATTCTGACTCACAGCGCCCCTAGAGTACAGAGTAGAACCACCCCATAGGGTTTCCAAGGCTCTAGTGGCATAGTGGGTAAGACATTTGGCTACTAACCAAAAGGTCAGCAGTTCAAACCCACCAGCTGCTCTGCAGGAAGAAGATGAGGCAATCTACTTCCCTAAAGATGTATAGCTTCAGAAACCCAGTAGGGGTCGGAATGAGTTGGAATCAACTGTTGATAGTGAGTTTGATTTTTGTTTTGGTTGACTCTTTTTTTAATTTTTTTTTTTTAATTGTGATTTGGGTGAAAGTTTACAGAGCAAATTCACTTTCCATACAGCAGCTCATATACACTTTGTCTCATGACATTGACTACAATTTATCACAGTGCAACAGCTCCCCGCCTACTTCCTCCCCATAGTTACCTCTTCCCTGTGTCCATCCCTCCATGCACTCCTGCCCCCTGAGCTGTCTCCTTGTGCATAAGCAGCCCTTCTTTCTCCCATGATTGTTCTCTCCAAGGAGAGTATCTACTTGAGGTAAATGTTCAACTCATATGCCTGTCTTTTGTTTGGCTGGAAGCCACAGGAGTGGGTTCAATTCCAGACCTGAAGGACAGCTAGGGGCCATAGTCTCAGTAGTTCCATCAGACTCTATCAGACCAGCAAGCCTGGTCCCTTTTTTTTTTTTTTTTAATGATTTTGAGTTTTGTTCCACATTGTTCTCCCTGTCTATCCAGGATCTCCTACATAGATCACCCTCCGAATGGTTGGCAGTGGTAGCGGGGCATCATCTAGTTCTTCTGGTCTCACAGTCGTATAGGCTGAGGATCTCATGGTGTATCAGTTGCTTGGACTGATAGTTTCCATGAATCTTTGGTTTTCTTCATTCTTCTTTACTCTGGATGAGCAGAGACCCATCGTTGCATCTAGATGTCTGCTTGCTAGCCTTTAAGATCCTAGTTGCTACTTGCCAAAGTAGGAGGTGGGACAGTGTTCTGTGTAGTATGTTATGCCAATTGAACTTGCTGTCCCCTGGGACTATGGTTCAGATTCCACAGGTCCAACTACAGTTCCCTCTGGGTACCTGGCTGTGACCAAGAAGTGACTGCAATGTTGTCTCTTGTCAGCTCTGCTATATACCTGGGAATTCTTACAGAACATACCAATACACTTGTAGAAACATTGTCTGCTAACCCTATACATGGTCTTGGGCACACTCCCCCCTGCCTTGGCATACCTACTTGTTCATCCTGTCCACCCATCTATCCACCCATATATCCATGTTTGCCTTCACTGACAATGCAGTACTGTATGTGCAAAAGGGTTCATCTTTGTTGGCTGTACCTCCCATGTACCTCTCTGTATCTTCCTCTTCCTCAATGCTATGGTGTTGATCACTCACATTTGGTACACTGACCTTCTCTTCACCCAAATCAATACTTATCTCTACCTACCTACCTAACAGTGTTCTCTCCCCTCCCCTCCAACCCCTGGTAACCAACACAGAAAATTTCCTTCCATATATAAACCTTTCCTTGACTTCTTATAATAATACACTAGTAGCATAGTGGTTAAGACGCTTGCCTGCTAACCAGACGGCTGGCGGTTCAAACCCACCAGCCACTCCTCGGAAGGAAGGTTGGGCAATCCTACTTCAGTAGTGATACTGCCTCGGAAACCCAAGGAGGGGTCGCTATGAGTGGGGGCCAACTCAATGGCACATAACAACAACAACAATACAGTATTTGTCCTTCTGTGATTGACTTATTTTACTCAGCATAATGTCCTCCAAGTTCATCCACGTTGTGTGGTGTTTTGCAGATTCTAGGTTATTCCTTAGGGTTGCATCGTGTTCCATTGTGTGTATGTACCATAGTTTGGTTATCCATTCCTCAGTTGATGGACAGCTAGGTTGTTTCCATCTTTTGGCTATGGTAAATAGTGCTGCGATGAACATGGGTGTGCGTGTCTGTTCTTGTCCTGGCTCTCACTTCTTTAGGATATATACCTAGTAATGGAATGTCTGGGTCAAATGGTGTTTTTAATTCCAACTTTTTAAGGACTCACCATACTGCTTTCCACAGTGGTTTTACCATTTGACAGTCCCACGTGCAGTATATGAGAGTCCCAGTCTCTCTACATCCTTGCCAGCATTTGTTGTTTTCTGTCTTGTTGAACTTTACTACTAGTGCTGGGGCAAGATGGTTGGTTGACTCTTAAGGGAAGCAAAGCCCAAACCAAACCCACTGCGGACTAGTCAATTCCAGCTCACAGCAACCCTAGAAGACAGTGGAACTGCCCCGTAGAGTTTCCAAAGCTGTACATCTTCATGGGAGTGTACTGCCACATCTCTTGTCTTGTGGGTGGCCACATCTTTCTCCCACAGAGTGACCAGTGGGTTCCAATCACTGACCTTTCCATTAGCAGCCTAGCACTTTAACTACTGTGCCACCAGGGCTCCTCATTTTAAAGCTCCTAGGAGACTCTGGAGGAGCTCTGGTAGCATAGTGGCTAAGGCACTTGACTGCTAACCAGAAGGCTGGCGGTTCAAACCCACCAGCCACTCCTTGGAAGGAAGATGGGGCAATCTACTTCCGTAGTGATTCTGCCTCAGAAACCCAAAGGGGGGTCGCTATGAGTCGGTACATAACAACAACAACAACAACAGGAGACTAGGGGGCAGTTGTACCCTGTCACGTAGGATCACTGTGAATCAAAAATTGACTGGACAGCAACTTACAACAATAAACATCATACAGTGAGTACTATGCAGAGCCACTCATACATTTAATGTTAACGGTCACTTCTCTCTTATCTTTGCTTTAGAACTCTTCAACAATAAGTACGTTTAATAAGAACAATGGCTTTAAAAATATTCCTGGGACAAGAGAAAACGTTTCTCACCATCACAGTCCTCCTAGCCTATTTGGTAAGTAAACTCTTTTCTCTCACAAGAATGTGGTGAAAGAATTTAAAGAAGTAGTACCAAAACTGATGTCCTTTCTGATGTCATGTTATGTTTTAATTCTGTCAGATTCTACTACTAATTAAATATCACTTGTATTTCATTAGCACAGGAAAACTCGCTGGTCCATCTTCACATTTGTAACAATTGTTGAAATTGTTTTATTTAAATGTAAACAGAGTCGTAGTAAAGTTGTGACATTACTCTTGGCACTCTAACAATGACGCAAAGAGGGCCTGGAGGCAGCACTTCTGACCTCTGACCTCACAAGAGGAAGACAGATCACCAGCACAGCCCACGGCTTACTCCTCTGAGGCCAGACATGCCACCGCCCTCCAGCCTCTTACCAACTCTGACACCAGCGTCCCTCCCATGGCACTCACTACTTCTCTGCTGGGTTTAATTCGTCGCAGTGGCCACACAGAACTCACAGACAATACTCATGATTATGGGGTTTATCAGGGAAGTAACAGGGTACAACTCAGGTTCAGGGATGCTCTCAGGATACAGTTCTTTGATCAGGACAGTCACCCTACTGCTATGCCCTCAGGCATGCCTCTCTGGCCCTTAGCCTCTTGGCCTAGCCTCTGCCCTGTTCAGGCAAGTGTTACAGAGCGCTTTTAGCTCTGCTGATAGGTACACCTACGGCACCCCACCCCACCGGCAAGCCTCCTGCCCAGGGGCGCTCAGATTTCTTGCTTCATGGGCCTGCAAGCACACCATGCCTCTTGGTTCTCTGCCGTGTCTCTGCCAGTGGTCTCTGCCATCTCTCTGCCAAGGAGGTCCAGCACAGGGTTCTGGGGTCCAAGGACACACTTTACTCTGCCTCCAGCTCTTCTCTCATGATGGCAGCGAGCTCCCCTTTCTAGCTCAAGGAGCACTCATTTTAATCCCAGCAGCATGGCAAAATGAACCAATCCTCACGTTAGAGTTCCATGCACCTTATTTGCATGGTCCCACCCAGTAATCTGGTTGTTGTTTGTTGTTGTTATGTGCCATCGAGTGGGAGTCACAAAGACTGGCTAGGAAAGCCATGCCAAGTAATTCACTGCGTCACCAATGATGTTATGTTGGACTTGCAGGTATGTCTCACATAACATCCTAAACTCTAACACGGAGTCCCCGTGACACGATTGGTTAAGCCCTGGACCACTAACCCAAAGGTTGGCAGTTCAGACCCACCCAGTGGGTCTTTGGAAGACGGGCCTGGCAGTCTGTGTCTGAAAGATCTCAGCCTTGACAGCCTCATAGTCCTACTGTGCACGTGTGGGGTTGATGTGAATCAGAGTCGACTCAGTGGCAACCAACAACGGACCCGAAATTCTAATTCTCAGCCCTTAACTTAGGTGGTTTGTGGAGAATTTAGAATACATTTTTCAAAGAGCTGTTATTTTTATATACTTATTTATATCCTTCTTGTTTCCCAAAAGCATTAAAAGGCAGATGGAGAATTTTAATGTTTAAAGTTTCATGCTGAAGACCTATAAAGGTATCAAAAAGAATCAAAACTTATTTCAATATGGAGATGTAATAATCTATAAATATATGAAAATTGTCTCACTTAAGACAGTACCTAAAAGCCTTCTTAGAAGACAAAGTAACAGGAAATAAGAGTGTAATTGGACTCGGGGATTCAGGAAGAAACTTCGTGTCAATTAAAATTGCTAAACATTAGAATAAAGGGGTCTGAAAAGATTACAATTTCTACCCTGTGGAAAGGAACCGTCTATCTCCATTAAACACAAACTCCTCCAAGACTGATGGTTAAGAACAGTGAAGGGAGGTGAGATGAAATGATTAGACCTTTAGCCCCAAATAATCTTACAGTCCCAAACCTCACCTTATTTTTTTTTTTTTTTCTTTTTTCTGCCTGCCCTAGAGGTTTCAGCATTGGTTTTATTGAAAGAAGTATGGCAGAGAGCATTGCAGATATTTCTGCTTCAAGGAGGAAGTAGTTTATTCTGAATAATTGTTCATTATTAAAACTGTAAAAAGATAATTAACTGTGTGCATCACACTGTGAGAGGCGTTGTACATAACAGTGGTCTCCATTCCTCATGCTTCCTAAGGTGGTTTTTTTTTTTTTT